GTCATCGAACTTTTTTAGCATTATAACTCGAAGGATATCACTTCACTAGTGAATTAATATTGCTTTGGAAACAATGCGAAAAAGCTTTTCCTGAGAGACAAAATCGTGTAGGTGATTGCAAACAAATTACAGTGCAGCTGTGCGAATTTTGAAAAGTACAGTTTCCTAAGAGTCAGAGAAAACGATCAAAATCAAAGGTTCCTTTTCTTAATTATTTGATGTTAAAATATTTAGGAGTCTTCTACCCTTTTAGGCTAGTATACATGATGATAGTATATTCATGATTCAAGCTAACTATATTATGCATTTCTTGTTCTGGCAAAATATTAAAGAATGCACGATGAATTGATTAATTGTGTGTTTTACAATGTTTTCAAACTATGATATATATAAGAAACCTGACCATAAACTTACAAAGGAAATCGTCTACCAATAAAGTAAAATTATTTATGATTATAGATGTTATGAAATATGTGTTAGTAATAGGTGTTTGTATTATTTTATACATATGGTTTCACTATGTTTTCATGTGACATCAAAGTGCTATGATATACTACCTATATAGTTTTGACACTCGACTGTGCAGGAAATCTACTTACTATTTTACAACATTTGGATTTTTATACTAACATCATCAACCAGCTCCACTGAAAACATCTTATTCATGACCTTTTCTCTGATTTATCAAAATATGTGTTTATAATATACACCAAGTACTCTTATCATTTTTATGAAGCTTGAAAGTAAATGTAAGTTTGGTATCTTTCTTTCTTTGAATATTTACTTCTTTATGTTTAATACACTGGCTGATGGGAACTGTGTCTACAATGCATGCTCCATTTCACTGGTAGGGGATAAAAGTTTATCACTCCATCTGTGTTAACTTACCAGCATTGACTTTTTTTAGAATGCTGAATATTATGCTCCCCAAAAACATAAGGATGGGGCATTTACAAGTTTTTAAAATGCATTTGCTTTGTGTTTGTCTGATACTTTAGCGTTATATAAGTCTTTCGTATGAGCTCCAAACGGGAATTGAATGTACAAGAATGCTATTAAATTTTGTGATAATTTTATTCACTAGCGAAGAAGTTATTTACAACAGTCGTGAGTATTCTATCTTTTACAATTTATTTACAGGCTTTTTATATATTTGGCTAAACAAGGTGCAGTTATTACAAGGCGGATAATGTACTTGAAATTTGAGTAGTGTGCGTCATTATAAAGTTAAGTGCGTAAGTTTAAGTAGCGCGGTTGAGTAAGTGTAAGATTGGCTCTTTCCTCTATTGCTAATACATAAATCTAGATGAATAATATACACACGTTATGTACGTCACTACAATATTTCCCTTTCAGTATGGGAATAGCATAGCTATATTGCAGCAGCTTTGGGAGAATTTAAGAATAATGCACACAGTTTTATGTATTCATGAATGATGTGTATGTTTTCATTGGTATCTGTTACATCCTGCATTATTAAATCATACTACCCTATTGCAAATGATTGTTTACCAGATTGGTATTCTCTTTGAACATTGCTTGTATTATCATGTTCCATGCATACTACTTCTTGCACACAGGAAGAAAGATGATGCATTAATTTTTTGTAGTGTATTGTATTGTTCGTTTTACTTTTCATTGCAAAAAATGACGTGCTTCACCTTTCTATTGCTACCAAGGAACAATACTATGATTATGACAATGGATGAAATTGTTTTGATTTGATTATGGTATAAGACTTGACAAACACAAGTAGTAATCACAGACAAAATTTAAAACTGGCCAAAATTTGCGGATTTTTTTCCTGTTCAGATCATGGATAGGGTTATCCTATATTCCTTCATGTATACTGAAAGCAGGAAATCGCATTTCTGAGAGTGAAAATTTATAAAATTTTATAGCCTGGTCATGAGGAAAGATATTAGTGATGGGGAATCATGTCGAAGAAATACACTAAAAACCTAACTCTAATCGAGGATGCTTCTCGTAAAATGTGTCGTGGAAAATTTAAAAGCTTATGTAGAAAATGCTGTGTGTTTGACATTTTTATCCATTGTTGAAATGTATCTGTAATACAAAACTACGTGTAAACAAGTTGGAATCAACCATATTATCATATAAAGTAAATGTACATATTATCATAATCTATAAATGAAGTTTCATTTCTGCTAAGAATAAAATATTATTGACAAATCAAATGATTTACTGAATTACATTATCTTTGACAATTGAAAAATCAAGCCGTAAGATTTTTTTTTGAAGTTACATAAAGTTATTGCGTGGATTCCGCAAGACAATGCTGGTGATTGCTCCCTACCATGCCGCTTGTACTGCCCACCAACCAGAGATGACTGCGATTGCATTAAAATAAAATTAATAAAATCTTTTTATGATGTGTTTCCAAAGGAGAGGCAAACCTCGACAAACTTTGTAATTAAAAGAAATCTTGAAAAAATCAATCTATTGTAAATCTTGATATTCAGTTTTTCCGTAGGGACCTGTTAATCCTTTGGTTAATTTACCAATAAATTGATGCATTGTAGGAATCAGAATGTCTGGAGTATGATATCGAAATAAAAATTAAGAATCATTTTGTCTCACTCAAAATGGATGACGATTTTAGAAAATGACGTCAGATATCGCATTCATGAATTATTATGTTTCTAATCATATATGATTTATCAAACATCAAGCAAAGCATAAAGTGCCATTTCTTCAATTTCAATGCTTATGATTGTACAATGAATGTGCTTATGACATGAGTAAGAAGCCATGCTCTTCTATTTTGAGCCAAAGTTCTTTATTTTGCCGTTATCGTCTTTGGCTGCAATCCTCCATATTATTCTTCAACTTCAAGCTTGTTGATTTTTACCAATCATTCTTTAATGTTTTACCAATCTTTCTTCTTCTGGTATATGTGCTAATACCAATACAACAAAGCCTGACAAAATCAGGATAAAACTCGGCTTTGTCGCACCTTTGGATAACAGATTGGCGGCCACAGCAACCCTCGGTCGAGAGTTTGATTCTATTTTCCGTTTATCGGTAGAAGAATTGAACAAGAAAGCTAGAAAAGAGAAGAGTAAAATTGAGTTAGTCGTTGACTTCACAAGTAAGTTTGAATGTTTAACCATATGTGTTGATAAGAACATTTCAACTTTATTGTTTTTTGCATCTCATAGGTCAAGTCAAAGACAGTGGTTACAATGATAAGGACCAATGTCTGCGAGTGGCCAAACAGTTCGTTGCCGATACTGATATAGTCGGTGTTGTTGGTGCTTTCAGATCAACTTGCTCCGTCGTGTTAAATCAACTCTTCAAAACAAAGTGTAAGCTCCATTTCAAATAAATCACCTACAAAATTATAACGTGTTTCTCTCCATGATGCGATGACTGGAACAAGTTCCTTGCTGCTCGTTTTAACGTTACGTCATCAACCATTAAGTCATCTTTTTTCTTCTTTTAGCTCGAACCTTGACTCAAATATCCTATGGTTCTACGGCTGCCGAGCTCTCGGATAAGCTCAGCTATCCGAGATTTTTGCGTACAGTTCCGAGCGACATCCATCAAGCGGAAGCTCTTGCCAATATCATCAAAATGTACAAATGCAAGAAGGTATTTACATGTAGTAGAAATTTTATTTAAAGAGGGGGGAAACGCATTACAGGCATAGACTGAAAAGCCAGTGGCCTCGCTATACCTATATCAAGAATTGTGCAATCGTACCTGTGGCATTCACTGTACTAATTTCGGAAATTGTATGTTGCATAATATATAAGCTATCAGATATATCCTTTCCACTCTGGGATGCCCAAGATCGATCTCAGAACAGTAGCTATTGGCTAGTTATGCCACGTGATTAGATTCTTAAACAGAAAATTTTATTTACTCACGTGATCCAGGTGGTTGAGATATTTAGGACCCAGATGATGTGTTTGCTTTTAATTTTAATTGTAAATTAGTATTTGTAATTTTGAGATAAATCGCCTTTTCCCTTGAATATGCTCACTCGTTCATCCAGTGACTATGTTTTGTTTTGAAGGTGAGCACTATGGTGACTGGTGATTTGGATGGTCAAGACTTCGCAAATGCGTTTCAGAAAGAAGTGAAAAGAGGAGCGTCAACGTTGTGGAGTCTGCACGATTCAGTCGAGGGGATACCTCTCATAATGTTCAACAGAAAGTTATACAGGCTTGTTCCTTTATCTTTTGCCTTCTTCATCGTGGAAGAAACTCATTCAGGTCGATGGTCTAATTTTCAATGAATGAAATTTTTGTTGATTAAGAAAGGTGAAACGAGAATCAATGTTATCAGCACCCTTCCCAATGACGCATTCATGGCATTTCATCAAATACGACAACTGCGAATGACAGGAGAGGGGTGGGTTTGGCTAACGTCAAGCAAAGTCACGGCTGCATCGTTGATCAATGAACCGGCACTGCAACAGGCTTTGGATGGAAAGGTTGGATTATCTGTAAAATCCGCAGTGGTCCAAAACACTTGGAGCTTCTTGTCCAATGGACCAACAAAGAAGAAGGAAAATATCCCGGAGCAATTTGGTACAGTGATGTAAGTATTTGACAAACTTTAGTCCTGTCATTGTCTGGTTACTTGTCACTTTTGGTGGTTATGGTTCTACACTTATACACGGGTACTAAGTTGTCTTTGATGCTAGTACATTATGGTTGACTGGGGAGAGTCTGCATTATATGTTTGGAGTAGTTTGCCGAAATGCATCGTGTCGTTTAAATTAGAACTATTGGGTTAGTGCTCTTTACTTAAAACAGTTCTTTTAAGAACTATCAACTTATTATATTACTTTTACCATTAACTATGGCATTTGCTATCTTTAAAACTATTTTCAGAATTGTCACCACGACAGTCTCTATTTTAACATTATATGTTGTAGTAATTAAGAGGGTGTACAGATTTTCTTTGATCCATCTCCTCCCTTGTAAGTCAACGTTTCAAGGTCTGTATAATTTTTTCTTTTACGTTAGGAACGAGATATGTCATTGTTCTCTCCTCAAGTTTTCAATGCCGTATCTGCGTACTTTAGAGCTTTTGACAAACTGTCGAGGAAAGGAATCATTCAACCGGTATGTTGAATCGCTTCAACCTGTTGCCATAAAGGCATGCGAGTGATGTGAGAAATGCAAAACAAAACTCTACGAGCTTATGCATTTTTAACGCTGATCTGGATTAATGTCATTTACAAGGATTTATAATTTGAGTCATATAATGGAGTCGATTGTCTTCATTAATAATACATGTTCTATGCTTGTCAGGAGGGCGGAATTCACTCATTCATTTAGGAAATGAAAGATGCTTACTGTGTTTGCACAGGCTTATGCAAACCGTGAAGACCTTTGAAAAAGCTCGAGAGCAGATCAGTGCAAGCCCCAGACCGAAGGTTGAGGGATGCACATGCTCGAGAGTTCTCACAAACGTCTCCGTCGTTTGCATAAGCCTGTGCAAACGCGTAAAACATCTTTTATTTCTTTTATAAAATAACAATAATGCGAAACAAACAAAACATTTTAATATTCTTCTAACGCATATTCATGATTGAATTGCAAATTCTCTCTGATTGATTAAATGATTTGTTTGGTTGAGCTCAGATCCTCAGATCGTTTTTCACAGGCTAATTCAAACACAGCTCTAGACCAATCAGCACACACGTTTCATCGTGTTTATTTTATAATTCACTTCGAAAATTTTTGCTGGTGACAGGGCGAGAGCAACACAAGGCTCCGTGATATCGTTTATGATGAGTTAAAAAATTTCAACGTTCCTACGTCGAAAAATGGTTTTGAAAGTGCGACAGGTATTATACCACATTTTCAGCTTTGTCGTCTCCTTTGACTTGATTGTTCTTAAATATCACTGAGTGTTTTTTAAGGTTACGAAGATCCTTCGATATATGTTTAGGTCTTCCTTCATATTTAGACAAAAATCAAGATGCTCCACCGTACTATGACATCAAAAATTTTGTGGTATGTATGTTTATCGCTACATGAAGTATAGATCGGATCTCTAGAAACGATTCGGCACGAAAGCAAAGCGATTGGTTATTTGCTACTTTGCCATCTTTCATCATAGTATTGATTAATTGATGAATGTGGTTTTAAGCATTATTGCTAACAAGAATGTTTTTGATCATTACGAACAATTTTTAGAACAAAAATTGGCTACTGTTGGTTATTGGGAACGTGCTAGAATGTTGTCGCTTCAAGCCGGCAAGATAAGATGGCCTGGCGACACGATGCAACCTCCAAGTGATGAAGGTTGGATATTACGTTCTTATGTTTTTTCTTTATGTTCTAATATCTTTTTTTGGAGAAATCTGATGTTAAAGCTTGAGTTGCTATATACTCCAGTCTAGTGTCTTCTTCAGGAGTGATCTGATGTTGAAATTGAGTTCTTATATAATCCAGTGTAGTGTCTTCATTAGAAGGGATCTAATGTTGAAACCTGCGTTGTTATACTCCAATCTAGTGTCTTCGTTAGGAGTGATCTGATGTTGAAAAATATGTATATTATCAATGTTCTTTTATTTGTAGCGTTATTTATCGGTTCACTTTCCTTTCTAACAGGAGAACCTGGCAAGATCACGTTGAAAATCGGTTTCATCACACCATTTTTCCCAGCATTAAGTGGGCTGGCTGATCTAGGAAAGCAATACCTCGAGGGATTTCAGACTGCATTGGAAATGTTCAATAACGACGATACCCTGGCTGTAGACTTCCTTGGCATTGAAAAAGACTCCGGTATCTCACCATCACAATCTTGTTAGGATATTGCGGAGTCTTTTGTTAAGTCTGGTGTTGTGGCTGTTGTTGGCGCCTATAGATCCATTTGCTCAATGAAAGCTGCTGATGTACTAGGTAAGAACAGTCGAGACTATACTGCGCATGTTCAGATGATATAGTTGGTTATTGCCAAAACTATGAACTCGACTAGTTGGTCAAATGCAGTATGCATGCTCAGATGGTTGTTCTGATAAATTGTTGCCGAGAGAGTTATTCAAGCTGATTGGTATGAAATCCATTATTTACTCTAGTGACTTCGCTAGTATTCAGTCAAAAATTAGTGGCACGTTGTGTGTCATTTTCACTCTGTTTCAACAAATGCAATTTCAAACTTGTTAGCTCAAGGACTGTCGTTGGCCAGGCGTGCCTCCACCATGCATAAAAAGCAAAGCAAGCAGCCGAAACATAATCACAAACGTTACACCGCACCATGCACAAAACGTGGACAACAAGACAATTAGTTATTTTAGACTACAGCTTGTGATATGTCTTTGAAAACATGTTTTGTTTGCCATGAAGTCAATGTATGTTCATTTCTTGACACATGAAGTAAAAGTAAAGTCAATAAGCAGTGTTTTTTTTAAACTTTGGCCTCCTGCTCTTGTAACGAGTTGTCTTTTAACACTTCATGAAAGACGTCAAAATTTGCTGGAAGTCGTCTGAAATTCATATAATTCTGTTTTAATTTTTTTGCCCTCGTTCAAGAGAAGACCAGAACATGATACCGCAGATATCATACGCTTCAACATCTAGCAAATTATCTGAAGTTTCGTCAGTGTACAAGTACTTCTTTCGTACCGCTCCGTCAAACGTAGATCAAGCCAAAGCGATAGTTGCACTTATAAAGCTTTATAAATGGAAAAAGGTTTGTCTACATCTTCTCGTGCCATTTGATTACAGTGTCTCAGCATTTTACCTTTAAGTCACCACCTTTTGGTCTATAAAGGGATCAAAGATTTAAATCCTTTTCTAATTGATGTTAGTGCAAAAATAGTCGCGTGGTATTCTCGTGGTATCCGCGCGAAACCACGTTACTTACTTACTTTTGGCCTACGTTCGCAGAAAGACTTTTTTCATAAAGTTTTTACGGACCGTTCAAATGAAATCAATAGGAACTGTTTAATTTGTGACATGATCAATGATATATGTGATTAGTTGCCTTTTTATCGTATTCTTTATCAAACGACCCAACCTTAACAATGAATACGTTTGCATGACAATTTTTTGCGTGGTGTGTAACTTGATATTGTTTTCGTGAAGGTGTGTACTATAGCAACTGACGACGTTTAAGGACGAGATCTTACGGAACTTGTCCTTGCTGAACTTTCAAAGACCAACGTCTCTGTCACTGTCACCGAGACATTTCAAGTCAGAGCTCATGCTGGAATCGTGAGGCCCAAAGTTGCAAAGGTAAAATATCATTCATTTTGTAGTTTTGACGCAAGAACGCCTGCTCACTTACTTGACTTGTTTGTAAATGTTTGCTTCCAGCTAAAACGTGCTGGTTGCCATGTTGGATTGGTGTTTATGGTTCGTAACGATGCGGAAGTTGTATTTCAACAATTGAGGGAGTTAGAAATGGTTGGTCGGGATTGGATTTGGATTGGATCGGATAAGGCTACCACATCGGTGTTTGAAGATGCAGCTAATCTCCAGGATGCAATGCAAGGCGTTATTGGCGTCCATCCGAGACGTAAGTTTTTTTAGTTTGAAGTTGTAGTATTTTAAGTAACAGGATTTACTTCAATTAATGATAATACCAAATTATGGCTTAACCCCAAGATATTCTGATGCATTATTCGTCATTGATTTCGACTCCCTTGATAATATATAACATTACATACTTTTAGACGGCGAAGGAAGATTGTTTGACCAATTCATGTTGGCTATAGCGAGACGTGAAGCTTCTCGCTATTCCGGAAAGAAAAATGTAATAAAAATTGTTGTATTGGTTAAAAGTTTATAGATAGTAATGATGCATAATAATAAAAGATTGTTAAGAAATTGTCGTGTTTTGAAACTATCAAAACAAATTGAGAAACTGATTTTTTGTATTTGATTTGCTAAGTTGTGCAAATCATCTTGACATTCACTTCTTTCATTACAGAGTCATTCTAAAACAACGTATCTTGCTCATTTATTTGATTTTATTCACGGAATGGCGTTGGAACTGTCAGAGCTGGCGAGGAAAGAAATTATCACCAGCAAGTCGAAAATCATTGACATGGGAAAAGCTCTTTACGACAGACTAAAACGAGCAAACAAGAAAGAAGCTGGTTTCCCTAGCTCTGTCGGTGGACTGGACACCATGTATTTCGATAAGAAACAAACCGGACCCCCCGCTTTTGTATTTGTGAATTTAGTGGTGAGTAAATGATACCTGTAAGTTTATACCTCCTGGGGAGGATTCATTAGCTTCACTTCGTTCTGTTGTTTGTTCAGGGAAAACAGTGGAAAACTGTCGGTATTTACATTCATCAAACAAGGAGTGTGTCATTGTTCCGTGATCCAGTCTTTACCGGTGGTGTAACAATTCCGATAGTGTTACCTGTCAAACCATCGTATAGGATTGCGGCGTTCTTTCCTACGAGTAAATCATTTGGTTCGCTTGCTGATCTTGCTGAAGAATGGGTACGTTGTGTACAACTTTTCTGATTTGAAGCTTTGAATATCTGCCTTATTTGATTCAAGCACAATTACGAAATGACCAGGGATGGATTTAGTGGAAGGGTGCAGGGAGTGTAAATTTCCCAGCAGAATATTAATGTACCAACCAATTTAGCAAAGTAAACTGTCAAACTACACATTTTCTAGGATCTCAAATCAAACATAAAAAGTTTGATATATGAGTGACAAAATGACATTTGCAATTGAATCACCAAAGACATTATCCTAACTAGATTGAATGAAAGATATCTTATAAAAAGTAGGTCATATTATACCCCCCCCCCAAAAAAAAAATCATCCTGGGCCCATCCCTGACAAAATTCAAGTGGAAAGTAAACTTCATAATTTTAAACAAACATCATCAACAGTTACTCAACGAGTCATTTGAAATTAAATAAAAGTATTATTATGCCTGCTTATTTTAAATTCATTATAGAAATCTGCTTTTAAAATCGCCGTCAACACTATCAACAGTGATTCGTTGTACAACATTCGTCTTGAATACGACATTATAGAAACCGCTAAAGATGTAGACTGGTGTCGTAAAAGAGCCGCTGTAAGTGTATTTATGTTCAGGTTTGGGTTAAATTTTGCTCTCACACACAACTGGGAGCTGATGCAGCCAATCCGCCGCAAGCTTGACATTTATTAAACTCATAAAAACGGTTAATACAGCTACCATTACATCGGCTAGGTGGCCCTGCTCCCACGAGTAGCAGCCTAAACTCAACAGTCTTAGTTACCAATATACATATGTCTATAGTGCTGTGGGTGGGTGGGACTTTAGTTAAGCTGTGTGGATGCAAGAACAAAATAATACTTTGACAGCGTAAGTTAATGATTAACAATTTGATCAATGATTCACAGAATGAAATCTAAACTAAGAGGGAGAGTTATTAATCGACTGGGTGTTTGTTGAAAAAGAAATAAATGGTTGACAAGTTGAATTATTGATTGACAAAGTGACATATTAACTAACAGGGAGAGCTATTGATTGACAGGGTGTTGGTTGAAAAGAGAATAAATGATTGACAAGTTGAATCATTTAATGACAGAGGGGAGTATTGATTGTCAAGGGTAAATAAAGATTGACAAGTTGATTTATTGGTTAAAATACTTACTGAATCACAAATACATGCAATCTTCATTAATTATATATTTCAGAACTCAAGTCCATAGACTTAAACGACATTTGCTGAGCTTGACATTTTTTTGTTTAGACTCTTTCTTCTAATGTTGACATGATTATTGGTGAAGCACGTTCGGAATGCTCTATTGCTATTTCCAAACAGACGAATCACACCTTAGTACCTCAAATCTCGTACGCGTCGACGTCTCCTTTTCTCTCTGACAAAATCACGTTTCCATTTTTCTTTCGCACTTGGCCGTCCGACGTTTATCAAGCAAAAGCACTTGGCGAATTGGTGAAGATTCACGAGTGGAAGAAGATGGGGACAATTGCCGTAAAGGACGAATATAGCCAGGAACTTGTACGCCGTACGGAGAAAATCCTCACTAAAGAAAACATTGTTTTGGGTGCTCAGGAGCGAATGAAACATGGTGATTACAAAGATGTTGCTAATCATCTGAAAGAGGTTAGTTGTTAAAGCTTGTCATGAATACAAATGATTTATGGATGCATTGAAATAAAATGTGGAAAAGGTGAAATAAAAACGTGATCTCATAAATGAGAAAACGAGCCGACGAGTTCTCAGGAAATATTTGATCAACGAACTAAAAAAGATGCGAAATGAGCAGACTGGTTTTGAAGGCACAACTGGAGGAAGACAATATTTCTCGGAAAAACAAGACGGACTACCCATTTACGATGTTGTTAATCTTAATGTGAGTAATGGAATCGAAAAAATTGTCGTTTTGTTTGGAAAACTCGCAATGAAAATTACTTTTCGCATGTCTGTTGAATGACAATCTTCAACGAGAATTTTCACGCTATATAACTTTGGAAAATAATATCTTTTGAGAATTTTCATCATTCTTTACCTTTCAGTCGTTCCAACTAAACAAACAAAAAAGAACGTTCCTCTCTAGATAATTTAAGTTCTGTGCTAAATGAATGAATCCAAGTCGGTTTTTAAAAGGCCAATTGCAATTGCTTTGTTTTGAAAGATAATCTTAGCAATCTTCAAACTGCTTTAAGCAATGACTGTTACCAACAAACAGTGATCACATTCTTCATGTGACGGTTGGCAAATTACTTATGTGTATGAGTTGCACTGTGTTTGATTATCTGGTTTCATTCATTTAGAATTTTTAGCAACAAATTTCGGGGGAGGATTTTTTTCTCTGTGGTGTTTCTTTTGACATGCTATCAAAACAATAAGGAAAGTTTTGTTGAATTTTTGTTTTGTGTTATTGTTTAGGGCGAGAGTTGGGTCAAAGTAGTTACGTATACAGCTGAAGATGGTCTCCAGCTCACGGGGTTAGTTAACTTTGAAGATATACTTTTAATATTCAAGAAAAATAACATGTAGAACTATTCCTTCAGGTCAACTGACGTCAATTTTCTTTTACTTATGTTGAAAAATTGATATTTTTCTTGCTAGGCACATCGTCTGGCCTGGAGGTGGGTTGAGCACACCATCAGAACATCAACCACAGTAAGTTTCTTGTGATTGTTTGTCAACTGTATTTTAATTAATGATTAACAAATTAGAACTGCAGACCAGACTGACCATATCGATTTTCAAGTTCGGTAGAATGAATGTAGAATCACTGCTTGCAAAAGCTATCTAGGCTTTTCTCCGTGCCGTAAGTTAGAACCAGGCTGTCCAAGTTACAAGATGGGGTGCCACACCCCCCCACCCCCAACGAAACCTGACAACACAAACATTTTCCTGATAATCGTTAATAGGACACAATATGAACTGGGTTTTTTGTGTACAGAAAATTACCAATTTACTTTCATGGAACACGAATTCACGAATGACTCTGAATGAGAAACATCCACTGCATCCACTTAACGAAATATACACATACTTTTTGTCTTTATTTTTGTAAATAGCTCTCTTCAGGGTGCCTTCTTCCAAGCTGATTGCTTGGCTTCCCGTGGCTTTGCCCAGCCGACGCTCATAGCAGATAAACCAATGACTTTCCTTTCATACTAACTCTCGGTGTTTCAATGTAGGATATCCACTACAACAATTGTCCAGGAGATTGTAGACAGAAAGGTCTTACTAGCACTGTGTGCTATATTTGGCATTTTTACGCTGGTCGTAATCATCGTCATAATTTTATGGATTGTCACGAAATTTAATTGCGTCTGTAAGGTAAGAAATGAGTTATATAACTGAAATGAATGCTACGTATGTTTAAGAGCCAAAAGGAGATGTTTGCGAATCGCAATGCCTAAATTTTAATGTGGGATGGCAAAATGTTGTAAATGAAAGATGTGTAGTTTTTGCTTCAAAATGTATTTTCAAGTCATGTGCAGTGAAATTCTTCATAAGGGATGATAGTGAACGTAGTACAATGTGAGATTTTACATTTTGATGGTTGAGCAGTTGCTTAGAATTTCTCTATCTCGATTTTTATAGAAAAAAGAGAATAATTACGTGAACGGTAATGCTGTTAAAAACAACATCAACAGATAGTTGAAGTGCTTCAAAACGGAATCACGCAAGCCAGAATTCAATCCATTGTTTGTCCCTCTTTGCTACGTAGTATCATATATTGTACTCAGACTGTCATTGTCGACAAATCGTTCGGCTTAAGAATAATTTTACAATAGTGAAGAGTAGACATTCAGCGCTAAATTGTATTGACATGCGAGTTTCAACATTTTCTGGTATATTGTGAAAAGGACTTGCTTAAAGCATAAATTTTGGAAATGGAAACTTGTCCAGAGGCTGGATTTTAAATAATTGGTATAATTTCAGCACTGAAAAATCAGTTTTAGTTCTCTTCGTACAGGCATATGTTCAGCAGTAACTGTGAGGCAATATTGATAGTTACTGAAGACGGATGAACAATATTTTCGTTAGCGGAAATAGAAAAAGATGAAAGCCATTCCTAATGAACACGAAAACACGCAAGTTTTAAGTATTTAAAGATAAGACTAAAATTAGACACTTTACTGAATTTAGTCAACTTATTAAAACTGTTAAAGACATTTGAAAAAGGCGATAAATAAAGAAACATATATTTCGAAATTTTCATCTGATAAAAACTTAGATTATGGAACTTATGTTTATGAAAATTCATCACTGACTGTTTTTTCAATACTGAAATTATATCGAAAAAAATATCTACTTTAGTAAAATATGTCGGACATTATTACTTCCTTTCCTTAGTAACATTCGCGTTATTCCTCCGTCGTAAACAGCTAATTAAAAATAACAAACCCGTTTGTTTTGACTCTTAATTGTATTACTTAGCATCATTTAGTTTTGTAAATGGAAATTATTGAGCTGACCTACTGTATATAGAATATTTCTAGTTAAATAAAAAAAAATTAAAATTTTAAGTCTATCGTTGTAATGATCAAGAGTATTACAAGGTGCATGAAATAAGTACCCTCTATTGTAGTTGAAATCAGAACTTTTATTGAATACTGAAAGGTAACTTGCTTCTACGAGAAAATTGTACGGGCTGACTACCCCATCGGGTAATGGCAACTCCATCTTAAACCGCTGACGTTGCAGTTTTGATTTCTGAGGAAGTGATAAATATTAATGAGACCTGTTTGACGAGTTCACAATAGAACCGGTGTTGCTCAGAATAAAAACGTATTTTTGGTCTTCTTTTTGTTTAAAGAAGGCAAATGACAACCGAGTATGGATTCCAGATAAACCATCTGGAATTATGATGAATGCTCGTGTGGAAACGATTTGTTTATGTACTTTGAGTTTGTTTATATTTTGTAATCAGTTTGTCGTTTTCGTGGATTAGAAACCTGTTAATAATACGAACCAAAATACATCAAATCATAATGGAAGTGAGAAGAATGAACCTCGTCGTCATGAACACAACATCAAAGTGGCGAAATTAGATTTTGAACATATTGCAAGGCCTTTTATCATAACAGTATGGGTGTTGCTCGCCACTCTACTCAAAGTCGGTACGTTCATAGGTTTTAACCAGATTTATTTGTTTAACATCTTTTGTTTTGATTTATATGTTCCTTAACTTGAAGCAACATTTCATGGTAAATGTTTTCATTATGTCTTTAGTGCTTGTATATTTTATCATTCATTTTGCTTTGATATTTGCCAGATATGTAAGTTTTAATCTCCTTGTATCCACATGAGGTCTTGGATTTGTAAATACATACGAAAGTCGATTTTATAAAAAGCGGCTTAACACCTGCTCGAGAGCAAATTATATGCTTCATTCAATGAAGTGTTCGTCTTTATTGAACAAGTAAAGCTTTATTATGTGACAAGTAAATGCTGTTACGAAACTGCAATTAAAATTAAATATAAAATAAAGTTACATAACTCAGACTTCTCCCACGTAGAGCGATACTACGCTACGTATGAATGATCTTGAAATTTTTTCAGCAAACCATTTCCTATAATAGGGAATGAAGAGTATGTTTCTTTTCCTATTTTCTTGATAAAAATCGACATATGTTGACCGACTAAATTAGTTAGAAGCAATATGTCGCTTGTCATCGTGACAGTCTGATTGCTAATTACAGCCAGGAAGCACGAAATGCAATAAAAATTTAAGTGTTCATTTCAAATATAATATTTTCATGTATTTACTTTTGAGTCTTTTGCTAGAATTTGGTTGAAAACCATGTTTCTGGTAGTTTTACTACATATGAGGAAAACATACTTAAAAAATAAATAGTATAAAGCCTGTAAAAGTCTGTTTCAATGTATTCAATTTGTAATTTATGCATAAAAATTTATAATGCATGTGTAATAAATATAGTAACCTTCAAAATTAAAGTAAAAATTTTCACAATGTTGGACAATTTTAGTATTTTTATCTTGGCAAAATGTATGAAAATAGCCACTTGCTTTGGCATGCCAAGGTAAAATTTGAGGGTTGTGCAAGAAAAGTTGTTAATAATTTACATTTGGTTTAATATAGGATTTCATATGATCTCAAGATTGTCAAAAGTTGTACCTGAATCATGGGGAGCTACAAGTTCCATTTATCCAAACCTGCTATCAGTGTTAGTGTGTTCGAGAAATTCATTCTCAATTATATCTTTCAGCATGGTTATTTTGCTTGGCGTTCTTCTTGGATTAATTTTACAGTAAGATCGTGCTTTAAGACTAAAATAATGACAAAAAGCAAAGCTTAAAATTTTAAACTGAGTGTTTGTAAATTGTTCATTTATCTATCTTTTATTTTCTAAAGCTATTCCAACTTCAAAAGTGTTGCAGATATTCCATTTTTCAACTCAAGAATATTCTTTCTGTTCATGTTGCCACCGTAAGTTGTCTTTTAAATTGATTGATTCACTTGCTTTGTCAAACAATGACATTATCAAAATATTGAACACCAGAAACTATAAAGAGGATAAATCATGATATTGTTGAAGGCACCAAGGCTAGTGTTGATGATTCAACAACTATGACTATTCTTAATGTGTTTCAAACTAAAGTATAACAACATTTAGTTGGTGTGATATTCGAGTAGATTTCACAAAAGCAATAAAACACGTGCAGTTATTGGTCCATGTAACATTGGCATTAGTCTGAGCCCAAACTGATCTGAGCCCAACAAACTAAATCAAATCAATAATACAGAGGTTGCACGTCAATCATGAATACATGTTAGAGAAAAATTTAATTATGGAAACCATGGAAATTTAATTTACAGATATGTATTTCATATTTAGAATTGTTTTGGATGCTGGCTACTTTCTTCATACAAGGGCATTTTTTGATAATATGGGGACAATTTTACTCTATGCTGTCGTGGTATGTTATATCCTTCATGATTTATTTTCTCAATCATAAGTACCGTAAGTTTGGTGGAATGTTAGGTGCTTGTTGGCAATATACATCACGGCTGTTGGAACATCGATAATTTTGGGTGACTGATATTCCTATAAGCATGTTATAATCTGTAGACAACGATTTTAAAAAAAACTTAAATATGAAATTATCCTGCATACATGAATTAATGATTTTACAACAGCAATGTAGATTATAAGCTCTTTCAAATACTCTTATCATGTGAAAATATGAATAGGTTATTTGTACTAATAAGAAAGATTGAGCAAATTATGGTTTGTTAGTGACATTTGATGTGACGGAAATTATTCTTTATGATGCAAGTGTTGAGTTACACTAATACTTGTTGAGAACCTGTGTACTGAGCTTGATCATGCTAGTGTATGCAGATCAATATGAAATTCAGCCATTTGATCATTAAACATTTTATTTCGTCAATTTTATGTATTTCAGGTCTAACATTCAACTACGTTCCTGAAGGAGAATCAAGCAACAATAGCGTTTCTACCAGGTGTACGTGTAGATTCCTCGTCTATATTTGCCAAAATATTTGCCAAAATATTGGTCTGGGAAGAAAATTGCTCGTTGGCATTTGCAGTGAAAGGTTTGTTGTTTCAGTGCACTAGAACCCTCCATGAAAAGAAAAACTCTGAATAAACAGTTCCTTTGTTTTGAAGTTTGCAATCGTAACAAATGAAGCAAATTCAATTAATTAGAATGAAAATATTCAACACGCTGTGAATGAAACAAAGCGAGGAATGATAATTGTTAAAATTGAAAATTACGTAGTTCGCCCACCCTGAAAACGTTGATAAGTTAAAGATCAAACCACATTTGATACACATTAGGATTTAGGAATGAAAATCTACTACAATTTTCGTTCATGCTTATATTCGATCAGAGTTTGATAAAGTCAACGCAAAAATTGAAAGGACAACACAAAAAAAGGAAGAAAACGGAGGGTTGAAATCAAGAGAAAGGTTGTTATTGTTGTGTCAATGTGACAAATGACCACCTGATGGATATGATCCAGTGTAATGACCCCAAGGCGCGAAACTTTATAAGATTATTCAACTACATAATGAAAATCAGGGTAAAACCACGAGAAGTTAAACTTGAATCCTTACTTCATTAGTATTTTCTCTGCTAGCATAATTTTTGATTTTGTAAATATGCATTAAAGATGACCTCTAAGCGAAAATCTAAAAGGTAAGAATTCTAAAATTTGTCACTTGATTCAAATTTGTACTGTCACTATCACTACTATGGCATGGCATATGGGTGAAACATGTTTTGCTGTTGGTTGACAATATTGGTGATTAATAAAGTAGGGACGATTTTAATATTAGAGTTTATAGTTTTTATTGCCTATTATGTTATATTTTTTAGATGTTGATCGTCCAGCTTTGTGCAGTCCTGAAAAGAATTCTTGGTGTTGGTGTGTTACTTCACTCTGATGATCAAAGGATGTCAGAATATCAATCATTACCAACACCAACAGTCGTTTTCAGGACTGCTCTAACCTTGAAGATCTACATCTACAAGCATTTAGCTTTACTCATGTTTTATTTTTCACCATCATCTCTTGTAGGAAAGGGAGAAAAAATGTTAATTATACTGATATGAGCTCCAATTGTGAAAGTGATGGTAATGTATTGTACGTACAGTGATCTCATAGCTACGTAGCTATTAATGAAAATTATAATTGCTCTGTTTTAAAGTAAAATATGTGGTTATACACTCTGGTTTACATAGGTAGGAGAAGGGTACATTTTATATTGTATCAGTTTACATGTACCTACATAGACACTGTTCAAAAAAATACTGATGCAACAAATGTGAATGTAGGCCCCACAATTATTTACTGGCTGCATGATTGATCTAGTGCACTATTAAACATTTTACATTGTTTTATTGTGAAAAAGTTGAGATTATTAATATGGTAGATATGCAATAAAAATAGACCGGGATCCATACTTTACTTCCTTTTCAATGTCATGCCTGTATGTTCTATGTAGATTTTTCTTGTTTTAAATTGCTAAGTTTTTGTATTTATGACTTCATGATATGTTTTAGATGATTTTGAAGTTGATTTTGAACCACAAACAAAGAAGGCGAAGCGTAAAGAGAAGGAAATGAACAAAGAGAAAAAAGGCGAGAGAAGGTGTGACCCATAAATAGATTTTTCATTTTGACTAAAAAGCATCATGCTGTTTTACACAGATATTGTAGTAGATCTCTAATCAATTATAAGGCTTTGTTTTGCCTTGTGTAATCCAATGTACACACTAATTTTTTCGATGTTTGATACAACAACATCTTAAGATTTTTTTTCTATTTTAAGGCCTTCCGTCCGTGAAAAGTTGTACCAAAGAGATATAGAAAAGGCAATTGAAATGTCATTAATAAGTACACCTTGTGACAGAAAGGATAATGATGTTGGACAAAATGAAAGCAGTCATATCAAAATAAACATTGAAAGTATTGGTATGTAAAGATATTAATGAAACTGTGAAAATTGATTACATCATGAAAGAGGAAAATAGGTTGGGAAGCTGCCCTAATCTATGCAGTAATGAAGTAAATCTAATTCAAACAATGATTTTAGAATTTTTAAAGTTTTTCATTGTTAAGCATTATATAATGCTGTCTTACATTGACCTCAAATTCACATTTTTAGTAAGACTCTTTTTCCCCATCACAAAGCCCTTAATTTTAAACTCATTATGAGTTTACAGAGTAATCAGTCAAAAGCACAAGTTTTGAAAATGACAACTTTGTCATACTGTCCTAAATGAGGACAGAGAAGGATTTTCTCAGAGTTTTATAAACTAGGCACCACTCTTAGTGGTCTGAATTTAACTGTTGAATTTCGGCACATAGTAGCATATATCCATCAATCACAGTTATAACTGGGTAGCCTTAAAATTAGGAATGTTTAAAAGTGCGGACATATGAAGGTGTGTATGGATGAAGGTGTGTATGGATGAAGGTGTGTATGTATAAGGGTGGGTATTTATAAAGTTAAGGATGTATCAAGTTGTGGATGCATGAAGGTTTGGATGTATGATGGTGGGGATGTATGAAGGTAGGGTGGGGATACATAAAGGTGGAGTGGGGATTTATGAAGGTGGTAATGTATGGATGAAGATAGTGATGTACATATGAAGATAGTGATAGACCTATGAAGATAGTGATGTGTTGCATGTAGTACTACTTTTAATGGTTTGATGAACTTTCTAATTGACTTTTTGCATAGTATTGTAGTGTGTGATTCAAAATGAAAATACATGATCATTATTATGTAAGATGCAGTACCGTGTACATATAATGCTGATTGCTCTCTTACTCATTTAATCTAATTAAGATGATGATGCACGCGACACCTGCGATGCACGTGACACCTGCGATGCACGTGACACCTGCGATAAGAGTAGTGCTAAAGTGAACAAGATTCATGACAATGATGTCGAAAGTGATTCCAATGAAGAGAAAATTGTGAACCTAAAGAACGGCAAGAAAATGTCTGGTGGGAATCATATGTTTTCCGGTAGGCTTTTATGTTTGTATTTATAAAAATTGTCATTGATTTCAAGTGTCCTATTTGCATATAATGAAATAACCAAAATGCAGTTGGCATGATTATACAATCAAAATATCAAAAGAGTTTGATACACACGTAATTGCATTTGCTCGCAGCTTGTCTTTTGTGTTATTCTTATTAGTTTTTCTTCTGACGAGTGCTTATAATAACAAATTTTTGATGCACATTTGTTTTAAAAAGAGTCATCCGACTACAAATGCACCCCTATTGTTGGTACAAAGGAGAAAAAGTCATCACCTATAAATTCTTCCAAAGAGAACGTTAAGCATTTGAAAAATGAAGGGAAAATTTCCACATTTTCTTGCGTTGGTACAAAGGAGAAAAAGTCATCACCTATAAATTCTTCTAAAGACAGCGTTAAGCATATGAAAAATGAGGGGACAATCTCAATATTTTCTTCACCTAAACTGTTTACAAACAAAACTAGCGGTTCTTTTTGCATTGGCGGTGTTAAAATTAAGAATTCAGGTCCGCCATTACGTGTTGGGCTATCAAGAAACCATAAAGTAAAACCACTGCACAATAAAGTTACGCTTTCACAATAACAACTTACTTACACCAAAATATTTTATCTATGTTTTAATAAAATATGTGAAATGAGTTGTAGGTGATTTGTAAATATTTCAATGTATAATAAACATTATAATTATACACTAAAAAAAACTCAAAACATGTCGTTACGGCCAATTGCTGGAGAGTGTAAAGTCAATCTATGAAAACCACCAACTAAATAGTATTTGGTAAGCCTTCCTCCAGCCATGCTATCTACGTATGAAGGGATTTTAGGCTATCACGTGATAATTTCCCCAAGCAATGTGGATACTCTCCCACTGTTCATTCTTGGGATTTTAGTTTTTGACCATAGTTTCCACAGTTCTTACTCGCTACATAGTCACTGACATTTCTTTAGCTGTAACCCACTTCACTAGCAAGTTCGCTTTTGGAGTAGCATTCATCTTTCGACCTTACCAATACCATTCCATTCGACAATACAATACGACATTCAACATTGATTCTTGGCTTTGGACGTATAATTCAGTAATTTGTCTAGATTCGTCTTATCCGCTGAATAATTTTTCTTTCACTAAGTGCTGTTGGAATGAAGTTCGACTATATATGTCTTAAAGTGAATGGTTTGAACCTGGGAACTCTGAAGATGACTACCGCTAAGGTTGTCGAAACGTCAGTCAACATCAACACGAGCAGTCTTTCTTTATTATCCGTACGCTCTCCCTTAAATTACGTTTCATTTGTTTGTGCACTAAACACTCACATTCATGCATCGTGTTCCCACGTGCTGTTGTCACATGGTCACGTGCTTATAAAGACAAATGGTTTGACTGGCTAAAGTGCAAATTGATGTCTAATGAATCCAGCTTTTACTACGATTTATATACAATACAGAGTTGAGCTATTTATAACTTCACTGTCATTAAGGTTATCTTTAGTTAGGTGTTTACATTTGACCTACTATCAATATTATTTTACTTTGAATATTTATAATTTTTATTAAAAATATTTAAAGCACAAAAATATTTATAGCGCAAATCAAAGAACTTTTATCGACATCACTTTTCACCCACAGTTAGATAATACCAACAATTCATACAATGATTCGTTTGCAGTTAAGTTTGTATTTTACCATAAAAACTGATCTCAGCTTAATCAACCAACTCAATTACCGTATTTACGGGTATAAGAAAGTGCGGCGCTCTTCAAACATTTGCAACTTTAGATGCGGCGCATAATCGGGAGACATGCTTAATCAAGGTAGGTACTCTTTAAAACGAGCTTTCAACTGTGTATGGTGTGTTGTAACAACAACACCTAACAAAAATTTTCCATGGATGTTTTAAAAATTTCGTGCAAAAGAAATCATGTCATAGCAAAATAACATGTAATAAAATCGAATATTTCATTTAATGACGTAGGTACGATAGTGTTAATCACGCCCGTAAAATGACCACTATTGTCTTTGATAGTTTCATCCGTGCCTGCAAATGTTTGTAACGATGGAAAAAGTAAAGGAAAAAAAGTTTAGAACATTCTTTACTCCATACAGGCATAGACGTTTTTAAAAGCATTTTTATATTCGATTGCAATGAGTGCAATCAAATTTACCGTATAAGGACACCCTTGTGATCATGACTTGATGTGTTTTTGTCGGAGGTGTCCGCTTATGAGATGCTGGTGGATTATTACAAATGGTGGATTATTTAAATATGATTGCTTTGACTGTGTTTTTAAAAATGATTATATTCTCGATAACTATTAAAAGGTCCAACATGTGTACTGTGAAATGTGTGAGTCCATAGACTTTATCAAACAACAAATTTATTAGGTATATTGTCTTTCTATAAACACAATGCTTATAGTTTACATGGCATGAAAAAATTTATGTCTACCTTTATGTCTACCTTTTTGTCTACTCTATGTTCCAGTCGTTGGTCCAAGCATCCACGCCATAATCTTCTTTCTCTTTATCTTTTTAAAGAACGCCAACATGCTTACATGTTGACATATATAGAATTTACATAGTGATAGGGTAAAATTAAATTAAAGTTTACTTCATCTAAAGGTTAGACAGTGGAAATAGGTTATTATAGAAGTAAGGCAGTGTAGGTCATGGTGAAAGTAGGACAATGAAGGAAGGAGAGTAAAATTAAATTAAAGTTAACCTCGTCAAAAGATGCGACAGTGGAGGTAGGTTATTATAGAAGTAAGGCACTGTAGGTCATGGTGATAGTAGGACAATGAAGGAAGGAGAGTAGAATTAAATTAAAGTTAACCTCGTCAAAAGATGCGACAGTGGAGGTAGGTTAGTATAGAAGTAAGGCACTGTAGGTCATGGTGAAAGTAGGACAATGAAGGACGGAGAGTAGAATTAAATTAAAGTTTACTTCATCTAAAGGTGAGACAGTGGAGGTAGGTTATTATAGAAGTAAGTCACTGTAGGTCATGGTGAAAGTAGGACAATGAAGGACGGAGAGTAGAATTAAATTAAAGTTTACTTCATCTAAAGGTGAGACAGTGGAGGTAGGTTATTATAGAAGTAAGTCACTGTAGGTCATGGTGATAGTAGGACAGTGAAGGAAGGAGAGTAAAATTAATTTAAAGTTAACCTCGTCAAAAGATGAGACAGTGGAGGTAGGTTAGTATAGAAGTAAGGCACTGTAGGTCATGGTCATAGTAGGACAGTGAAGGACGGAGAGTAAAATTAAATTAAAGTTAACCTCGTCTAAAGATGAGAAAGTGGAGGTAGGTTAGTATAAAAGTAAGGCACTGTAGGTCATGGTGAAAGTAGGACAATGAAGGAAGGAGAGTAAAATTAAACTAAAGTTAACCTCGTCTAAAGATGAGACAGTGGAGGTAGGTTAGAATAGAAGTAAGGCACTGTAAGTCATGGGGAAAGTAGGACAATGAAGGAAGGAGAGTAAAATTAAATTAAAGTTTACTTCATCTAAAGATGAGACAGTTGAGGTAGGTTAGTATAGAAGCAAGGCACTGTAGGTCATGGTGAAAGTAGGACAATGAAAGACGGAGAGTAGAATTAAATTAAAGTTAACCTCGTCTAAAGACGAGACAGTGGAGGTAGGTTATTATAGAAGACATAGGAGGTCAACTCGTATATAAAGCTATAGGATATTGGAAGTAGAAAAATAAAAGTAAAACATTAACCTGTTATGAACTTTTGATTATATTTATTTGTGAACTTTATCTCTACGTAAGTACTTACATTAGAAATCAGCCTGAATATAAAGCTAGGACATTGGAAGTAGAAAAGTAAATGTAAGATATTACTTATTATGAGCTTTTGATCATATTTATTTATGAGCTTTACTCCTACGTAAGTACTACATCAGTTACATACACGCTTATTATGTATTACAAATGTAAGTCTGTGGAATTACATATAATAAAGCAAATTAATCTACTAACACTACAAACGGGAACTAACAAATTATAGTTTAAATGTTAGGTTGGTTTATACGATGTGGATTATTTTGGTATATTGGTATACAAGCGAAGGGACTAAAACTATTGTTAACATTTTTTTCCTTTAATGAGTGTTTCTTAGCATACTTTCTGTGCTTTCGCCTGTACTTTACAATATTCCATTTGATGCCCCCAACCCGGCAACATCAAATTCTGCTCTTATCATAGCGTGTGATGTTTGACGCTTATAAATATTTCTCTGGGAAAAGCTAAATACGATTAATTGTGTTAGAAAGCGTTTAACAATATTGTATTAAATATTTCCAAATTTTTAAAAATTTTAGGGAATTATTTCGTTGAAAGTTGACTTGCACATTTTTATAAGTAATTTATCTGTTTCATGTGCTTTCATTGATTGTTTGTTGACTCAAAAGATTTGAAAATTATTGTTCCTTTTAAATCTGTTTTTTACATCAGAAGGAGCTAAATCTTTATCCAGAAACTAGTTGAAAAGATAAGAATTAAAGGAAATAAAAAATTTAGTTCCTGATATGCACGTTTCTAATGCTAATTAAGGTAATTTAAGTAAGTCGTTCCAGACTTTTCAAAAGACGGACAAGGTACATTAAAAGGAGTATTTTTGCCAACTTAAAATATACATAAAAATAGAATGATTGAAAAACTTAAAAACCTTATTCACTGAAACGTTGAAAATCACACTTAAATTTAATACAGGACTAAAGTACTAAAATCAAGACCCCTCTGAAAAAGCAGTGTTGACAGAGCTCTAACTTCCGATTATTTTTCCCTTGATCAGATCAATGCTCATAAGCGTATTGTATTTCATTAGTTCATGCAATCTTTCAAACGTTTTGGGCTTGTATTCAAATTTGAAGGAGGAATAAGGTTCATCAGGGTCGTCAAAAATGTCAAAGTTTGCAAACTCTATGTCGTCATCTTTCTCTCTCTTCAAACCTTCAAAAAAAACCCCCATTGTTTTGATGGATCAACATTGTGTAGTACAAATCATAAAAGGTTCAAAATTAGTTTAAGTTAATAAAAGCGTCGATTTCACCTTGCTTTTGAAAACATGATTGGAACATTGAAATATTTGTACAAACATTCAAATGTCCGCTTTTGTAGTGTGCATTTTCAAAACTTACGGCAGATAATCTGATTGGTCAATTTTTTATTTAGTTTTATACTAAACAATCAGATCATTTTCTGCAAGTTTGAAGGAACTACAAAACAAGCATTTGTATATTTTTAAGAATATTTAAATGCTCAAATGAATACTATAAACGTTTTTCAAAAGAAAGGCGAAATCAACTTTAATAGTAAATTTTGGGTTGAATAAACGTCAATTTGCCATTGGGAATATACGTCCTTTACGTGTGACACATGGAAGATACTTCCTTTACGTGTGACATATGGAAGATACTTCCTTTACGTGTGACACATGGAAGGTACTTCCTTTACGTGTGACATATGGAAGATACTTCCTTTACGTGTGACATATGGAAGATACTTCCTTTACGTGTGACATATGGAAGATACTTCCTTTACGTGTGACACATGGAAGGTACTTCCTTTACGTGTGACACATGGAAGATACTTCCTTTACGTGTGACATATGGAAGATACTTCCTTTACGTGTGACATAT